TTGGCGTTTCCTTTTAGGGTCCAACCCAAATTCCAGGAATGTTTTCCATTGACTTTGGTGGTCACTGGATTAGGTCCTCACTTAGAGAGAACAGCAAATCTATGTGCTTGGCTTCCCTTTCTCCTCTTTGAGGGCTCCTCGCCACTAAAGAAGAACTTTCCCTTTGCTCTGCAATAGCCCCCAACCCACTCGGAAAATCAGTTTGCCATCTCTGACTCTCAGGGCTTGCTAGGAAAGCTGAAAGGAGGGAAGCTGTGCTGGGCACGGTAGTGTTGGGGCCGTGGCGCTGGGCATGCTTTGAGCCGGGTTTGAGAGGAGGCTCTGGACTCACTGTCCCCCTCCAGGGACCTGCTGGCCAGCACTCCTGGAGGGCAGGGCTGTGGCAGGTGGGGGACCAGGGATGTGGTGATTTTCTTCCTCAAACGGGAATGTTCAGTTCTGCCTTTCCTGGAAAGCTGTGGCCTCCATCAATCTCTGTCACAGCAGGATTGCATCACTGCTGTTTGGTCTGGAGCGTTTCAGCAGTTTACTGCTGAAAGTGTTAATGTTGGCTCGTCTGTGGCCAGCTCTAACTTCCTGTGTATCTAAAGATACTCTAGTGTCTGAAGTTAAATATCAAGTCAACATCCTTTGAGAGACTCTGCTTGTTAGGGGCTTGTGCCTAAAGCACTGCACTTACTGGTCCTTGGGGTGCCCAGCCTGCAAGCAGAAAGTCACATGAAGTACAGATGCCTTATTATGAATATGTTATTTAATACACAGGCAGAGATGTGATTGATGCTAATAGTTATACTTGGTATTGTTCCTTATGGCATCTAAAAATATGGGAGGTGCCGTAAGTCATATGTGATGCATGTTGGAAGCACTGTTCATATTTCCAATAGCCGCAAAAGGACCCAATGCAGACCGTGTCCCACTGTCTTAGACCCCAAAGGGAGGAACTCGGGAGGTTTGGGTGGGGAAAGCGAGAGGGGGGACGTGGCTTGTCCGAGCTATCAGGACAGGCCACAGGATTAGAAACCGTGTCCCTGAACTCTGCATGGTGCCACTGATGCTGTGTAGTTCGCGCTAGGGAGCAGGGATGACATCCGTTTGTGTGTTTTCTTTTTCTCTAGTAGCGTAAGTACAGCTGCATCATTTTGAGAATGCAGGATCGTCCCAAATAACTATAAAATAAGGCTGTGACTCACTGTGACTCCTGGAGAGGCTAGGACGGGATGGTGAGTTCCATAGAAACAGCACACGCGCTCCCAGACCAGAGCTGGGTTCAAAGCTTGTTGTGCAGCAGAAAGAACATCTCCTTTCTCTTGGCTCTGCCTGAAGGAAATGGCTTTGGATTAACGCTGTTGCCATGTGCACGCCTGAAAGCAGGGCAAACAAAAGGAAATGGCTTGTAGCTTGGGAAGTTTGTTTGGTGAATTGGTTGAGATTTTGTGTTTGCCCCCTTCCCCCTCTCCCTTCCCCTGCGGCTTCTTGGGGCTCTTTATGCTGCAGCAGGAGCAGAATTTTGGCAGCACCCCTCCACCCCTGTTTTGGTGCTCAGGACCCCTCCTGTGGTTCTTGGGACCCCAGGTGAAAAGAGGGATGGGGTGACTTTCCTGCGGCCGTGCAGAGCTGCTTGTTTCTCAGACCATGGGCTGGCAGGGGCCAGCCCCGAGGTAGAGCAGGGGCGTTTGGGCTTTGCCGGGGAAAGAAATGAAAGGGTTAATTAAATGACAGCAGGGCGAGCTGTAACCTTATCAGAAGGAATGTATTTTTAATGGAGCGGTTCTGGCGGGCTGGGGGGGAGCTACTCGCGCTTTCTCAAGCGGAAGGCAGCAGCTCGCTGGCACTGGGGCCGTTTCCCGGCGGCCTGCGCACGGCCCCTTCGCAGCCACTGTCAGCTCCTTGGAATAATTGCATGTATTTCCTGCCTTCTCTGTATTCTCACACAACATCAAAGGTTTATGGAAATACTACAGCTCCGGCAGCCTGCTTTAGGGAAGCTGCGCCGCGTTTCTCACTTGAGAGAGCAGACGAGAAGTAAAAAGCAGCATGTCTGAACCAGAACCCGATTTTTTCCCCTCTCCTCGTTTCTTTAAAAGGCTCCTTTAACTTTCTTCTCCTTCCCTGACCCAGCTTCATCTCTCCAGTGAAATCTTCCTCCTTTGTTTAGAAGGGGTCATTTACTTGGTCTCTGCCTCTGAATGGTTCCTTTATAAGGGAAACTTGGGTCATGAGATTTTTCCTTCCATGAAAAGCGCCTTTGCAGGAGGCTTTGCAGGAGGACACTGAGCGCTGCCTGTTTGTCTTACAGGTGGGAGCTCAGCAAAGCAAACAACCTGGGAAGGAGGCCACCGGGTCCCGGCGCTGGTGTACTGGCCTGGCCGAATCCCCGCCAACCGGACGAGCCCTGCCGTGCTGAGGTAGGGGGCAAATGCTGCCTTTCCTGGCACCAAGTGGCTTTTTGCAGACCCGGCGGTAGTTAAACTCCTGCTGTCAGTGAGCACAATTGCATCAGAGAGCGGGATGGCTCCTGTTTGCCTTGGCACCACGTCAGGCCCCTTGCAATTAAAGCAGGAGAAGGTGTGTTCCCAAGCAAGGTTTAAAAGGGCACCCTGTCACTAGACAGGTGACAAGTTTTGGGAACAAGGTGATTATCTTAATTTTGGCAGCAGTGACCCATGTTGGTTATTGAGTGCATTGTGTAAGGCTCTGTACTTTTGTCCTCTCCCAGGCCCATAAGACTTAATGCTTCAGCAAGTAGCAGTTGAAAGCTCTTTTTGTGAGGCTGGTGGATTCACATTAGCAGCTGCAGGGATCTGAGTTTCTCTTTGCTGCGGTGGCTGAGTGCCTCCCGATAATTAAAAGATGACGATGTGCTCTCTCTCCACCAAGAAGCAAGCTTAGGCTTTGTGGTTTGTGAATGGCTTTATGTGGAGGAGGGTGCGGTTGTGGGAGCAGTTGGCCGGAGAGATGGGGTTTACCATCAGCTCAGGATGCGGCAAAGTTTAGAGGTGGTTCTGGCTTCTCCTAGGAGTGAGTTTTTGGGGATAGCAGAGGGGAAGGGTTGCTGTCTCCTGTTCCTCACCTCTCTGGGGAAGGTTGTGCTGCAGGGATGTATATGGAAGGGTCCTTACTGAAGCTGTAGCTCACCATCATGCAGCAAACGCTGTTGGACCTTCTGTAGCCTGGTGATGGACCACAGGGACGTGGGGCAGAGCCACTGAGCCCGTGCCTGCTCGGGGTGCTCGAGGCCCTCGCAGCCCTGCAGCCAAGGAGGCACTGCTGCAGGCTCAGCATCTTGCTCCCTGTCCCGTTTGCATCCTCACCCTCCTTGCTGCATGGCACACGCAAGCCAGCCCGGCCAGAGCCTTTACTGGGACTCGCTGACTTGGGTCCATCACTTCCTGGGGCAGCACTTCAAAGTGAGGAGATCCGGGCCAACCGCTCCGTCCGGGTTCGGGATGATCCTGCCCTCTTGGCCGCCCCTGTCCTCCCCATAGCGGGAGGTGTCCTCCAGTGTGCTTTCCCTCATTAGCTGCTTGCTTTTGGATCCCCTTGGTCCTTCTGTTGACACCTGCTGCTGTCCCCGGGGCCTGCATGCCTTGCCCGGCTCTCCCTTTCAGAAGGGGGAATTGCTCTGCAAAGCCAAGACCTTTTACTGCAACTGAGAATGCCCTAAGCCAGGCAGCTGCTGCCCTGCTCCCCTACGCTCAGGCTGTCTCCCTGGACAGCAGGGCGCTCGCACCAGAGCAGCAGGACTGCACAACCCCGTCCTGAAAGACCTTATCTGCTGCTTTTCCACCTCCCAGATCCAGTCTAGCAGGTTTGACAGCTGTAAATCTAGATAGCTGCCAGTGCCACGGCATGGGGCTGTGCAGTGTGCGGGGGAAGGGGGATGGCTCTGGAGGGCGCACACCGTCCCCCAAGAGCTTGGCTTGAGGCTTTTTATTATTTTGAAGACAAAGATGCGATTCACCGGGCAGTCTGATTCACGTGCTGTCCTGCAAAGTGCCCTTACCAGCGTGGAGGCAGCCAGGAGTGCTGCAGTGTAGAAAGTGGAGCAATTTTGCAGCCATATATGGGGCCCTGAGTTGCTCCACTGACGAGCATGATCTGGTGCCTTCAGCTCAGCCGCCTTCCGGTAATCTCCTGTACGCTGACGTCTCTGCAGCTGGGACACGGCCCACCTCACGGCTCCTCCGGTAAACAGAGCCCAAGTTTTAAAAGTGCTGGCCCAGATGCACAGAGTTTGGTTATGCAGAAATGCCTAAGGGGGAATCTGTCTCAGACGTGGAAATTCAAAGTCAACAAAACCCAAGGAGGTTTCATAAAGTTCAAGTGTGTGACACAAACCAACAAAAGGCAGGAAATTGCCTGCGAAGGGCTGACGACCTCGCTGCTGTAACCAGCTCTGCTGTCCAGACCAAATCCAGGAGTGACGTAAGCAGTGGTGCAAAACAACAATCACTGGTTTGTGTGCGCTGTGCTCTCCCGTCGACGGGGCAGAGCCAGGGTGGCAGCCACGGGGGAAGTCGAGGGTCACAAAGCCATCAGCCAGAGCAGGGCCCCATCTGCCCCTTTGGGCGCGAGGTTTGGGGCTTTGGTGGGGGAAGGCGTGGAGACGGGGTACCTGGAGGCCGTGTGCCAGCACGGCTGGGGCTGGCATTCCTCCGGGATGCGGTTCTTCTAAGGGACGCCCGCTGGGACGCCCGCTGTCTTGTGCCGGCTAGGTGCTGCCAGCGTCTGCCAGGGTTTGTATGTTGATGCACCGAGGACCTCATTGGGATGGGTTTTCTACCCCAAATCCCTCTGAACCAAGCCACCCTTTATATTGCAGATATCTGTCCTCCCTGTCCCCATGACGTTTCATCAACGAATTCCCTTACATCCTCCCTGTCCCGTCCAAGTCACAAAGACCCCTTATAGGAGATCCCCAAAACCCAGTTTGAAGCTTTTGCAGGCACGTTTTGTTGTCCCCCTGCCCTGCAGAGGACTGCACTTTGGGTTCCTCGGAGCAAGGGGAGGCCGACATCCCTGAGTGGTGACGAGGTCAGGCGCTGGCTTGCGCGCTGCCGAGCGTGAGAGCCAGAGCATGCCAGCATCCACCCCGGCGCTGGCTCGGAGCCATGCCGCCTGGCTCGGGGCCATGCCCTGGCATCAGGAAGAGGCAATGCAGGAGTTTCCGCTGTGAACTCCGTTTCGGGAGGCGGGGAGGGCGGCGCAGAGACAGCCTGGGGGACGTGAGCTGCCTGCAGTGCTGCCGTGGGGAGCCCAGCTCTTCCGCTGCCGCACAAGGTCACCCTCCGAGGGCTGTCCTCGAAGAGAGAGCGTGTGCAAAGGTGGCTTGTTGCTGCCCTCGTGAAACAGGGAGATTGAAGACTTCCCCCCCCCCCCCCCCCGCTGATGGGGAAGAAGCTGGAGGGGGGGATTAAATCTGCAGGTGCAGCTGAGAAACATCAGCAGGCAGGGAACGACTTCGGTACAGTTAGAGATGTACCGAAGGGCAGATGATGGGCAAAGGCCTAGACTAACCACCTGCTTAAGGCTTTCTTTTGCCCCCGAGGTTATGAAAATGCTGACAGCATTTGCAATCTCATTTAGGAGAATAATCTGCCAAGAACTGCGTCTTGCCTCTTCTTGTACCTTGCTCCCTGTGGCAGAGGGGTGGGAGGTCTCTGCAGGATCCCTGCAGGTGCTGGCCTGCTGTGTCCTGGGCTGCTAGAGCTCCTTCAAACCACCTGGGCCAGGGTTGCCATGGCCAGGCCTGGTATTGCTTTGTTTTATGTTCTCACTGCGTGGGTAGCAGGGGTGAAAGAGGGTTAATATGGCCAGAGGCTGGGAAAGCAAATGCCAGCAGAGAAATGCTGATGCTCACTGCGGTCCTCCCCTGCGCCAGCACAAACTTGTGCCTGCACGTTGATTTCCACAGAAATCTGCCATGTCGGCTTTTCTTAATGATATTTAATTGTTAGAGCCTCCTGCAGCGCTTATGCCATTCCCCACACCAATAAAAAGTAGGGCACTGAAGAAATAGGTCAGTGGGATGATGAATAAGGAGCAAATTACGCCACCCCGATTGTGCACGCGGCGCAGAGCTGCGCAGGGTGGTAGCGCACGGCCCGAGGCATTGGGAGAGCAGGTTCTGCTGCCCAAGAGCTGCTCGGCACTGCGCAGTCATCGGGTTGTGCCGCCGTCAGCCCGAGGTGGCCTGGAGCGGAAAAGCTTTGTCTGCCATGGTCGTGTCCAGCATACTCATCATTTCTCCCTGGTTCTCCCTTTGAAAGGCCCACCCTGGTTCTCACCCTTGAACAGGCTGAAAGCCACCTCTCTGGGCTCAGGCTGCTTCTCTTTTTGCTTTGCTTTTCAGAGGCAGCAGGAAGTTGGAGCTACTTCATTTGCTAAGAGCTCTCTTGGCTGGGTCTATTGGGTTGGCAAAAATGGCTTTCCCTTTCACTGCAAGTGCGGTTTCCCTAGCCTTTCTTCTGGGATCCATGTGCTTGAAGGGTCTTTGCTTTGACGTGAACCTTGACAAAAGTCTGTTTGTGACTTTTTGTGTGGGGCAACTCTGCACTCAGCCGGAAAGCCTTTTAACCACCTTTGCCCTCAGTCATCAGTAACGTTGTCCTCAGACCTCCCAGAGGTCTTCCATATTCCCTGTCTCAACCCTTCTCCTCCAGTTTGGTGGTTTGTTCTGAAAAAAGATCTTGATCCTGGACTTGCTCTGTGTCCTGCTGAGCATGCGGTAGGACAAAAAGGGCAAAAATGACAACTGGTTGGTGATACCTCTTGGCCAATCTCCAGATAATGTTCCCGGATACTCCATCTGGAGGTGATCTGGGTGCAAGGTGGTGGCCCCAAAATCCTAGTCAGAAGCAGTGTAGCAGGTTTGGGCTTGGGCTTTCGAAAGAGAACCCTTCCCAAAGCTGCCAGATGACCTTTAGTTTGGGCAGCACAGCACTTCTTTTCATGCTGGTTGATGGTCTGTGCGATATTTGATGTCTCAGATTTTGCCAGCTGCCTTAGAAGTTTCCTCTTTGATTGCTCAACCCTTCCCAATTGTCTCTCACCAGCGTGCCCCGAGGTACCGGCTCAGAAAGGGCTCTCGTGTTCAGCGCAGAGATGTGGCACACAGAGGGAGGGCTTGTTATCAGCAGCGGGGTTGCTGTGTGATGTGTGAGCGAGCAGGACTCTGTGGCTGCAGGGGAATTACCCCGGCCCTGCCGACAGAGGCTGTTCTCAGTGGACAGCAGTTGCCGCCGTGGGTGAGGAGCGGGGTCGATAGCGGCGTCGGGAGCCAGAGGGTCTCCTGGAGCCTCGGAGGCTGGCTGCCGGGGGCGCAGGAAAGGGCAGCGTGTTGACATAGCTGTAGGGAGGGAATTCAGGACACAAACCCTGAGCTTGGAGTGTGACTTGTTGGGACAGAGCTTTAGGTGTTTGTCCCGTACCAGCCAGGAGGGGCCCCCTGAACCAAAGCCATGCTAAGAACCTCCGACCAGCTGAAAATGAGTTGTTTTGGCTGAATTTGTTGCTTGGAGGCTAGAAGCTGTCTGACGTTGCCCCAACTTCCCTACCTTGCAAGGCCTCTCTCACCTTCTGAGGCCGTGACCGTTTCCACAGGGCCTGGCTGCTGTTTCGGGGCTGCTTTCGGTAGCGGTGATTTGAAAGCGTACGAGCGTGTCGTGCTGGGGCCAGATCTGGAGGGTGCTGAGCACCTGCAGCCCTTGCAGCAGCCCAGAGGGCTGCGAG